GAGAAGGAATCCACAGCATACATACAGGCTAGGGAGTTCCCTTCTTGAAAGCACAGAGGCGGAAAGGGATCTTGGAGTCATTATTGACTCCAAGATGAACATGAGCCGCCAATGCCAGACCGCAGCCAGCAAGGCCAGCCATACCTTGTCATGCATCCAAAGATGCATCTCAAGCCGGTCCAGAGAGGTGATACTCCCCCTCTACGTGACATTGGTCCGGCCTCAATTGAAGTACTGCGTCCAGTTCTGGGCACTGCACTTTAAGAAGGATGTGGCCTGCCTTGAGAGGGTTCAGAGGGCCACCCGCTTGGTTGGAGGGCAACATGCCAGGCCCTATGAGGAAAGGCTGAGGGACCTGAACTTGTTCAGCCTCAGCAAGAGGAGGCTGAGGGGGGATTTGATGGCTGCCTACAAATTCATTAGGGGAGATCAGCAGCAAATAGGAAGGGCCCTATTCCCCCCAGCACCACCTAGGGTGACAAGAAACAATGGCCAGAAGCTGCTGGAGAATAGGTTCAGGTTAGAGATTAGGAGGCACTATTTCACTGTTAGGGTGGCTAGGATCTGGAACCAACTTCCTAGGGAAGTGGTCCTTGCTCCTACCTTGGGTAAATTCAAAAAGAGGTTGGATGAACACCTGTCTGGGGTCATGTGATCCCAGCATGTGCTCCAGCCAGTGGTGGGGGGTTAGACTAGATGATCTATTTATGTTCCTTCTGACCCCAAACTACTATGAAACTATGAAGCATCAAACACACCCTGGGACTCACGCCACTAAGGCCAGGGCACAAAGGCCCTGCCAGTTCTCTGCTGCTGTGAGGATGGAAGTGGGGGTGGCAGCATTGGAGAGATCCACACTGAGGGGTCCCAGCCAGAGGCCATGCCCCTCTGCCACAGAGGGAGGCAAAACCTTCCACAGTCCATGCTGATGGGACTAGGGGGAAAACTCCTTCCAGCCCAGTCACCATCCCCATCCCCAGCTGCAGCCAACACCCAGTGCTGCTGAGTGAGACAAGTAAGATCCCCATCTCCTACAGCTGTAGTAACAGGAGGGGGAAATTCTCCTTACCCCCCCTTTGCCTAGGAAAAACAAAACACCCTCCATTCCACTCTGCAAGTTGGGGACAACAAGTGCAACAGCACTTATCACTCTCTGACTGGAGTGCCAGAGTCACCCTTTCTGTGTCTCCTCCATAAATGTATCCCAGCTGCTTTAATCTCCTTTCATAACTAGGTTGGATGAAGAGCCCTCCCTCGTTCCTTTGCAGTGGAGCACAGTCCTATCCAATACTCCCTGGCCTGGGCTGCCCAGCTCCTGTCACCTCCCAGTGAGAGGCCTGTCTTGGGTGCTGCTTGTGAGAGTGAAGTCAGGATGGGGGTTGCCTGTTGCAGGGACTCAGGGCCTGTCTGTGCCCAGTGCCTGGGGGTGGATGGGCTGGGCTGGCCAAAGGTGCTACAGAGTACCTCTCAGCCATGTGCATAGTGGGGAGGGGGCAGAGTTAAGGTGAAATGGGGCCTGGAGTTCCTGCTCCCCAGAGCTTTCCAGCAGCAAGGGAAGAGGCCAGTCAGGACGCACCATGGTCCTACAGCACAGCAGTGCCAGAGCCCAGAGGGAGACCCAGGCATCCTGACCTGCTTCCCCCAGCTCTCCCTGCCAGAGCAGGGGTAGAACCCAGGAATCCCA